CCTTTGTCAGAAGATTGACCAGTAGGCTTGAGGTTGGGATACTTCTTATAGCAAGATGCCGCAACGTGACCGGACTTGTTGCAATGAGTGCAGCGGGTGGTGAGGGACAGAACGGTGGAAATCTTCGAGTTCGACGTCGTGTCGAGGTTCTCGATCTTGATATTCCCTATGATGCTGTTCTTGACATCGACTGGGTTCAGAGAAGCGATAGGATGATTGGCCAGGTAAGAGGTGACAAAACCTCTGCTGGAAGCGGGCAAGGCAGCAAGCATGAGAGTTGCAAAGAGGTAGTCGGGAATCTCAATTCCTCCTTCTGAACACTGGCGACGACAAGTCTCCATTTCCATGATTTGTTTTTCAATGATGTCACCACCGTGGAAGGTGGTGGTGTCCAGGAGGCGGTACTCGACAAAAGCATCGATGGCATTTGGTTGGCCATAATCCGTCGCCATTTTCACAAAAACCTCGCGCGCAGTGCGCTCCCGTTGACCGTCCATAAAGATTCCCTTGCGCAGATTCTGGGTGATATAAACCCGTGCAAGACCCAGTGCCTTTTCATTGGCAATGTCCCAACGCTGCTGACTTTCATTGGCAGTGGTGGGTTGTCCTAGAGCCCCAGGATTCGGAGCACTTGTTCTAGAAACCGTAATGTGAGTGGGTTTAACCACTCCCCAAGTTCCCTGATACATACAGATGCTCATGTAGTTGTCCAACCATGTGTTCCAATTGGTGCCATCGAACATGTTCAAGATGTTGTTGTTCAACTTTTCGATCCCAGATATGATGGGAAGAAATTCAATGACGTCTTCAATTTGGTAGTAGAGGGAGGGGTCTTTGACGAGGTTCTCGCCAAACAGAACGTGCAGAGCAGTAGTGAAGTTGCCCTGTTCTTGATAACTGTCTGGATTTTCTAGATCCCCGATTCGAAAGATGTCGTCATCAGCGACAGATGAGAGAGGAAGGTATGGAGGTCCAAAGAATTCCCAAGTGTTAACAGGGTATTGAATAACCCCAACAGGAGGATCGTTTGGTGATGACAGGGTGATAGAGATATAGACTAGAGCAACAAAGTCAGCCCCAGATTCTCTGCAGACCAAGAAACAAAATCCCAAGTGCCAAATCTCTGAAACGAGAGCAACCAAGCGTCCCTATCCCATCCATGATGCCCATATATGCGCGGGGAATGATAACGAAATAAAGCGGTATAGTAAGTGCCCATATTTGTATCAAAGTAACGTAACTATATACGTCAGCGGCGGCAGTACCCAACGGTGATTACTGCCCTCGCAGTCCGTCACTGGCCAAGGGACACGTGCCCAAGGCCGTCCCAAGCACCGGGTTTGGCTGCCCATCTTCTCCCTTTTAAAGACATGCATACACGCAGAATGTCATTGCATGAATCCTCGTAGTGTCACCAGCCCGCAGGGTCCCTTGTGAGGAATGCGAGTCAACCCCAAAGGATCGTTTTGCCTGGCGGAGGGATTGACCTCCAGCAGCTGTTGAGAGCTACTACACCACCTAGGCGCTTCATGCAAGGTTCAGGAGTGGGATTGACCAAAGGACCAGTGCCTGGTGGGTATGTCCGCTGTACAATAAAAAGATGTAACGTAAAACGCGCATGAGCAATCATGGACGGAACAGCTAACGGCGCGTCTGCCAACTGAATGACTCCCTGACGCCACTTGCGTAACCCCTTGAGGGTGAGAGCACAAATGCGAGGACCAACATCCAGCAAGTGGGACGAGCGCACAAAGACGGCGCTCTAGAAGGGCTGAACAAGTAAAAGATACTCGCCTTAGTAAAGGGAGTAGTTTGGTTGTTTCTTGATTTGCCACTAGTGGTTCAGGCGGGGCCCATAACCTGTCACAGACAATATCGCGCAGTGGAGATACGACCAGTAGCGATCACCTAAAGACACAGAGTCTCAGCGAGTGTAAGACACAGGAGCTATACATTAGCTGTACCTAAAGACACAGAGTCTGTGGTACAAGTCATAAGTAAGGGTCATTAGATCGTAAAGGAGAATGCATACCTCAGCGAGTGTAAGACACAGGAGCTGAGGATATGGAGCGTATAGTACTAGGTTTATATACCAGTCTGGAGCAGATATCATGATGTCATAGTGGAGTAATGATATCATAGATGAGTAATGGATGATGCAATAATGAGGTCAGGTATAAGGTCATTGTGGAGCAAGCCAAAGTAATCTAAAGATACTACATATGATATCATGTCTACATACTGTGATAGTCGCCAATACAAACCAGCTTCAACACAACATGGATGCAATTGACTTGGACATGGGCGCACCAGATCTGGAAGAGGGAGAATCGATCCTGTTGGTCGACTTTGGGAAGGAAGTGGATCTACAGCTGAAGGAAACACCGGCACAGAAATTCGCAGAAGAAGCGGAAAAGGAGAAGGAGAGAATGACCGAGGGGAAGATTCTGAATCAATACCGGGAATTTCTCAAAGTATTCACCAAGGAATCGTTTGACTCGCTGCCGGACCAACGAGCATGGGATCATTCAATTGAGCTCAAACCCGGCTCCAAAGCAGTGGACTGCAAGGTGTATCCATTATCGCGAAACAAGCAGGTCAAACTGGACAAATTCCTACAAGAAAACCTGGCCAGTGGATAGATCAGGCCATCAAAATCACCCATGGCATCAGCGTTCTTCTTTGTCAAGAAGAAGGATGGCTTGCTACGTTCCGTCCAAGACTATTGGAAGTTGAACAAGATGACAATCCAAAATCGATACCCGCTGCCGCTGATCTCCGAACTGGTCCATAATCTATATGGCGCAAAGTTCTTCACAAAGCTCGACATCCGGTGGGGATATAACAACGTACGGATCAAAGAGGGTGACGAGTGGAAGGCTGCATTCTGCACAAACCATGGGCTGTATGAGCCCTTGGTTATGTTCTTTGGTCTCACAAATTCCCCAGCAACCTTTTAAAACATGATGAACAACATACTCCGAGAACTGATCAACGAGGGTCACGTGGTAGTTTATCTTGACGATATATTGATCTTCACAGAAAACTTGGACGAACATCGGCGGATCACAAAACGAGTACTTGAACTGCTCTAAAAACACAAGTTGGACCTGAAACCTAAAAAGTGCGAGTTCGAACGCATGGAAATCAAATATCTGGGTGTAATTATTGGGCACAACTTGATGCGGATGGACCCAGTCAAGATCAAGGGCGTGATGGAATGGCCTGAACCAAAGAGCATCAAGCAAGTCCAAGCATTCCTGGGGTTCACCAACTTCTATCGGCGCTTTGTCCGGGGATATGTGGAGGTCGCCAAGCTATTGACGCGGCTGACAGGGAAGGCAGGATGGTCATGGGGTATGGATGAGCATGCGGCATTTGATGGATTGAAGAAGAGAATTGCGGAGGATGCGGTCCTAGCACTGCCAAACAACACTGGCCAATATCATCTGGAAGCTGATGCTTTGGAAGGGGCAACAGGATCTGTTTTGAGCCAAAACCAAGATGGCATTTGACGCCCAATCGCGTTTATTTCGCACGCATTAACGGAAACCGAGTGAAATTACGAGATCTACGACAAAGAAATGCTTGCAATCATGCTATCATTGGACGAATGGAGGCAGTTACTACTGGGAGCCACGGAAACGTTTGAGATCTTCACAGATCATCAAAATCTTGAGTACTTCCGGAAGCCGCAGAAGCTCAATCGACAGCAAGCACAATGGATCACGGAGTTGGCAGAGTTTGATTTCACCTTACGACACCGGCCCGGCGCACTCAACCGCAAGGCGGATCTCTTATCTCGATGAGCGGATCACGATCAGGGCAAGAATGACAACAAGGACGTCACCCTGCTGAAGCCCGAGTTCTTCCGATCGCAAGAAGTCACATTTGAGGGGCAAGATCAGCAGCTAGTTGATGAGATCAAGGCCACTCGATCAATTGATAGAAGTGTCAAAGCGGCCTTGGAGAAGTCACTCGCCGGATGGAAAAAGGAAGAGGGGCTCATCACGTATCATGGGAAGCTCTACATACCAAGGGACAAGGAGCTGGGAGACAAGATCATTGGGCTACACCATGACACACCTTTGGTTGGACACACTGGGATCAACCGAATGCAGGAGATGGTGGAAAGGAACTACTGGTGGCCAAGGATGGGAAACCAAATTCTGAAATACATCCAGACGTGCGAGGCATGCCAACGGACCAAGACCAGGAGAGCAAGGACGGGGACTCTACACCCGCATGCAGTCCCAAACATGCCATGGGAAATCATCTCCATGGATCAAATCAGACCCCTGCTGGTCAGTAATGGGTATGACACAATTCATGTGTGGTGTGACACCTTCACCAAAATGATTCACGTTGAACCAATTAGTACTGACATCAGCAGCAAAGAAGTAGCACAGTTGACCAGGGACCGAGTCTTCCGCTATCACGGGATCCCTTGCAAGATCATCACCAATAGGGACTCACAATACATCAAGAGCTTCATGAAGGAAACAAATTGGATGTTGGGCGTGGAAATGAATCTGGGGACTGCATATCACCCGATCACAGATGGACAAACAGAACGCATGAATCAAGAGATCGAACACTATCTCTGCATCTACGTCAATTACTATGAGACAGACTGGTCGGAGTGGCTGGGAATGGCAGAGTTTGCATATAACAATAAAATGAACACGTCTACCAAAATATCACTGTGTTGAAGCTTGTTTGTATTAGCGACTATCACAGTATGTAGACATGACATCATAAGTAGTATTCTTAGATTACTTTGGCTCGCTCCACAATGACCTCATACCTGACCTCATTATTGCGTCATCCATTACTCATCTATGATATCATTACTCCACTATGACATCATGATATCTGCTCCAGACTGGTATATAAACCTAGTACTATACGCTCCATATCCTCAGCTCCTGTGTCTCTACACTCGCTGAGGTATGCATTCTCCCTTACGATCTAATGACCTTACTTATGACTTGTACCATAGACTCTGTCTTATAGGTACAGCTAATGATATAGCTCCTGTGTCTCTACACTCGCTGAGACTCTGTCTTATAGGTGATCGCTACTGGTCGTATCTCCACTGCGCGGTATTGTCTGCGACAGGTTATGGGCCCCGCCTGAACCACTAGCGGCAAATCAAGAAACATCGAACTACTCCCTTTACTAAGGCGAGTATCTTTTACTCGTTCAGCCCTTCTAGAGCGCCGTCTTTGTGCGCTTGTCCCACTTGCTGGATGTCGGTCCTCGCATTTGTGCTCTCACCCTCAAGGGGTTACGCGAGCGGCGTCAGGGAGTCATTCAGTTGGCAGACGCGCCGTTAGCTATTCCGTCCATGATTGCTCGCGCGCATTTTACGTTACATCTTTTTATTGTACAGCGGACATACCCACCAGGCACTGGTCCTTTGGTCAATCCCACTCCTGAACCTTGCATGAAGCGCCTAGGTGGTGTAGTAGCTCTCAACAGCTGCTGGAGGTCAATCCCTCCGCCAGGCAAAACGATCCTTTGGGGTTGACTCGCATTCCTCACAAGGGACCCTGCGGGCTGGTGACACTACGAGGATTCATGCAATGACATTCTGCGTGTATGCATGTCTTTAAAAGGGAGAAGATGGGCAGCCAAACCCGGTGCTTGGGACGGCCTTGGGCACGTGTCCCTTGGCCAGTGACGGACTGCGAGGGCAGTAATCACCGTTGGGTACTGCCGCCGCTGACGTATATAGTTACGTTACTTTGATACAAATATGGGCACTTACTATACCGCTTTATTTCGTTATCATTCCCCGCGCATATATGGGCATCATGGATGGGATAGGGACGCTTGGTTGCTCTCGTTTCAGAGATTTGGCACTTGGGATTTTGTTTCTTGGTCTGCAGAGAATCTGGGGCTGACTTTGTTGCTCTAGTCTATATCTCTATCACCCTGTCATCACCAAACGATCCTCCTGTTGGGGTTATTCAATACCCTGTTAACACTTGGGAATTCTTTGGACCTCCATACCTTCCTCTCTCATCTGTCGCTGATGACGACATCTTTCGAATCGGGGATCTAGAAAATCCAGACAGTTATCAAGAACAGGGCAACTTCACTACTGCTCTGCACGTTCTGTTTGGCGAGAACCTCGTCAAAGACCCCTCCCTCTACTACCAAATTGAAGACGTCATTGAATTTCTTCCCATCATATCTGGGATCGAAAAGTTGAACAACAACATCTTGAACATGTTCGATGGCACCAATTGGAACACATGGTTGGACAACTACATGAGCATCTGTATGTATCAGGGAACTTGGGGAGTGGTTAAACCCACTCACATTACGGTTTCTAGAACAAGTGCTCCGAATCCTGGGGCTCTAGGACAACCCACCACTGCCAATGAAAGTCAGCAGCGTTGGGACATTGCCAATGAAAAGGCACTGGGTCTTGCACGGGTTTATATCACCCAGAATCTGCGCAAGGGAATCTTTATGGACGGTCAACGGGAGCGCACTGCGCGCGAGGTTTTTGTGAAAATGGCGACGGATTATGGCCAACCAAATGCCATCGATGCTTTTGTCGAGTACCGCCTCCTGGACACCACCACCTTCCACGGTGGTGACATCATTGAAAAACAAATCATGGAAATGGAGACTTGTCGTCGCCAGTGTTCAGAAGGAGGAATTGAGATTCCCGACTACCTCTTTGCAACTCTCATGCTTGCTGCCTTGCCCGCTTCCAGCAGAGGTTTTGTCACCTCTTACCTGGCCAATCATCCTATCGCTTCTCTGAACCCAGTCGATGTCAAGAACAGCATCATAGGGAATATCAAGATCGAGAACCTCGACACGACGTCGAACTCGAAGATTTCCACCGTTCTGTCCCTCACCACCCGCTGCACTCATTGCAACAAGTCCGGTCACGTTGCGGCATCTTGCTATAAGAAGTATCCCAACCTCAAGCCTACTGGTCAATCTTCTGACAAAGGCAAGGGGAAGCAGGATGAGGGGAAGAAGGAAAAGAAGAGTGGTGATGGTACCAGCACTGTAAACAAAGAAGTTGTAGCCGCTCCCGTGGTTGCAGCTGCCTCCAATGGAATGCACATTTTGTCCTATCTCATGAGTGACTCCCTCAAACACATCGATGATGGAATTTTTGTTGAAGAAATGGGAGACGATTCAAAAATTCGTTTTCTATGGGATTCAGGTTGTACGCATCACATGACAAACACCCGATCCGATCTTCACAATATCAGATCTATTGACACCTATGTAGTCGTTGGGTCGGGAGCTCGCTGCAAGAATGAAGCCATTGGAGATATTGTGTTGCGGGGTCATACTAGTAGTGGCATGGACTACACCTTCACGCTGAAGGATGTCATCTACAACCCGCACATAAGAGGGCGTTACCTTTCTGGGTATGCGCTCGATCAGGCTGGTTACTACACCGTGGTTGGTGACAACAAGGCAATCCTAGTCACCAAGGATTGGCTCAACAAGGGAAAAGCGCATGGGGATGTCTTGATGACCTTTAAAGCAAGCAATCGCTGCTACTGGTACTACCCCGAGGAGCTCGTGGCACCATCTGTGTCTGCATCTCACGAGTCTACCGCGCTCGCTTCCCTGGAAACTACCGATCGTGAATTGTGGCATAAGCGTTTTGGTCATGTGGCTCGGAGGACCCTTACTCACTTGCCGACACAAGTTGAAGGTGTTCCCCCCTTGCGACGCAATAAAGACCAGTGTGGCATGTGCAATGGATGTATGCTTGGAAAACAACACAAGCATCTGTACCCTGCATCAGAGAAACGTGCTAGCAAACCCCTCGAGCTTATCCACACTGATTTGATGGGCCCCTGGCCTACTCAGTCGTTGGAAGGTTCACGCTACACAATTTTGTTCTATGACGATTTCTCAAGCTTTGGCATGATGGTGTTTATTAAATCAAAGGACCAAGCCTCTACCGCAATTAAAAACTGTGTTGCCCTTACAGAGCGTCAGCTTGGCACAAAAGTACTGGCCTTCCGGTCAGATCGTGGAGGTGAATATATGTCCAATGAACTCACAGCCTGGCTCAATGCACGTGGTATTATGCACCCTAAGTCCGCGCCACGCAAACCATAGCAAAATGGGAGGTCTGAACGTTGGAATTGCACAGCCTACGAGAAAGCGGAATGCATGCGCCTCGATGCTGGCCTATCCAAAGGCTTCTGGCAATGTGCCATAGATGCATCTGTCCACGTTCATAATAGACAACCTATGGCACGATTGGGATGGCAAACACCTGTGGAACTGTGGCTTGGAAAGAAGCCAGATGTCTCTTATTTCCGTGTGTTTGGATGCAAGGCATCTCTCTATGTGGATGTTGAAAAACGCCCAAAAGGGTTGGAGCATGGACGCCCCGACCACATCTTTGTTGGATACAAACAAGAGACAAAAGCTTGGAAAGTGTGGGATCCAAATCAATGCAAGATACGAATCTCTTCAAACGTCGAGTTTGATGAGCAAGTATTCCCTGCCAAGTCCAAGCTAGTCACCGGCAATGTGTCCTCTGGACTGGAGCTGTTCACACCATTCGAGGAAACCTTCCCTGACCTTATCAATAATCCTGCATCTGCAATGCCTTATGCAAGTATAACACCTCCTGCTCTCCCACCGCCACCGGCACCCCTTGCGCAACAAGGTCCTGTCACAGGATTGTGAGAAGTACCCCTAATGCCTGGCCCAATAGACGATTGCCCGATTGCCCATTGCCGCACTTGTCGGAATAAGCCCCGCATTATGCCAGATGGAACTACGTATCAGAGGCCTAGCAGCATTGAGTCCATGTTATCAGCTGCCCAAGCTGAGCATGACTTGCCTCAAAACGTATGGGACGTAGCAAAGAGCCCGGATGCACTCAAGTGGGAGCGCGCAATGCGCGAAGAACTGGACTCTCTCGAGGAAAACTGTACTTGGGACTTGACCAGCCTTCCACGCAGTCGAAAGACTGTAAAATGCAGATGGGTGTTTAGCAGGAAGCGTGACGGTTGTTTCAAAGTACGACTCGTTGCCAAGGGATTTACTCAGGTTCATGGGTTTGACTATGATGAGACCTTCTTGCCAGTATTGTGCTACGAATCTTTGCGCATACTTATGGCTCTGGCTGCTCTCGAAGATTGGGAGATTCATGCCATGGATGTCAAAACGGCATTCCTAAACAGGGATCTAGAGGAAGAAATCTATATGGAACTTCCGGAATTACCCAAAGGTTTCTCGTCATGGCCAAAAGAAAAGGTGGCACGCCTTTGTAAATCACTCTATGGGTTGAAACAGGCGTCTCATCAGTGGAATATCAAAATCCACAATGCTCTCCTCGAACTTGGTTTTGCTCAGACATACTCCGACGCCGGTGTCTACACATATCGCCAACAAATGGGAGATACAGTCATCATCTTGGTGCTGTATGTTGACGATATGCTTATTATGGGCAACAATCTGCCGGAGATAGCGCGTATCAAATCCTTGCTCGCGAACCGCTTCAAAATGACAGATCTTGGTCCTGCAAAGGATTTCCTTGGTCTGAACATAGTTCGTGATCGCAAAGCGCGTAAAAACTGGATCAATCAGACTTCTTATATCGAAGGAGTTCTAGAACATTTCCGGATGTCTTCGTGTAAAGAAGCTCGTACTCCCCTGCCTTCCGGCATCGTGCTCGAGAAGCATGATGGAGAAGTTGATGAAGACCGTCGTACCCGTTACCAGCAGCTGATTGGCAGTCTTTTATATGCCATGCTTGGTACACGCCCCGACATTGCCTACGCAGTCATCCATCTTTCAAAGTTCAACAGCAACCCATCAGAACATCATTGGAACATGGCAAAATACATACTCTGGTACCTTCAGGGCACCAAACACTACCAACTTTGCTATGATGGTTCCACTGGCACAGGCCTTATCGGTTATTCCAATGCTGATTGGGCGGAGAACAAAGACGACAGGCATTCCACCATGGGATATTCCTTCTTCATCGCCGGTTGTGCAGTGACCTGGGTTTCTAGACGCCAACCCACGGTCGCTTTGTCCTCAACAGAGGCCGAATACATGGCTCTGAGCGATGCTACGCGCCAGATTGCCTGGATCCGCACTTTGTTGACTGAGCTCGGATATGACTTGCCATCCACGCCTCTTTGTGTTGATAACCAAGGCGCTATCTTTATGGCAGTAAATCCGGTTCATGATAGGAGGACGAAGCACATCGACATCCACTATCACTTTGTACGAGAATCTGTCAAAGCTGGCAATGTCCAACTTTACCATGTGCCGACTGATGCGATGATCTCCGACACGCTCACAAAGTCTTTGGCATGGGTGAAGTTCCAACAACATCGGCTGTCTTAGGGTCTTCGTGATCTGACTGTTTAGTTGAGTGGGAGTGTTGAAGCTTGTTTGTATTGGTGACTATCACAGTATGTAGACATGACATCATATGTAGTATCTTTAGATCACTTTGGCTCGCTCCACATTGACCTTATACCTGACCTCATTATTGCATCATCCATTACTCATCTATGATATCACTACTCCACTATGACATCATGATATCTGCTCCAGACTGGTATATAAACCTAGTACTATACGCTCCATATTCTCAGCTCTGTGTCTTCTACACTCGCTGAGGTATGCATACTCTCTTATGATCTCTTACGACTCATACTCATGACTTGTACCTAGACTCTGTTTCTATAGGTACTGCTAATGTTAGCTCTGTGTCTTCTATACTTGCTGAGACTCTGTCTCTATAGGTGATTGCTACTGGTCATATCTACACTGCGCGATATTGTCTGCGACACACTGTTCTATACGAATCACGGATATCACCCATGGAAGGGAGTGGAACAGCGGATGGAATTAAGAAGTGAGTTGGCAGAGGAATTTGTAAAAAGAATCAAAGAAATACAAGATGAAGCAAAAGCAGCACTAGAAAAGGCAAATGAAAAAATGAAAAAATACTACGATAAACAAAGAAAAGAAGTCCCGGAGTTGAAGGTTGGGATGAAGGTGTAAATAGAAGGGGAAAATATCAAGACAGATAGACCATCAAAGAAGATGAGCGACAAAAGACTGGGACCATACAAGATATTGGAGAAGGTTGGAGCAGTTGCATGGAAGCTGGATCTGCCGGACACGGACGGAAGACACCTGGTGTTCAACGAGTCACTGTTGACACCCTATCATGAACCACCCCCCCCATTGCCAAGAGAAGAGACCTGTAGCCAAGATGATCGGAGGAGCAGAAGAGTGGGAAATCAAAGAAATTGTGAAGGAATGGAACGTTGGCCAAGGAAAGCAGTACTTGGTCAAATGGAAGGGATGGCCGTATAGCAAAAACACCTGGGAACCATCACGTCATCTTACCCACGTAAAGAAGGTCCTGAGAGACTGGCAGAGGAAACAATCCAACCCAGACACACGCATTCACCTCCTGCCAACGCTCGAAGCCGGACATTGGGATTATCTCATCCATCGCTACAAACCAAAAGACAAGCGCCTCCCATATCCCCAACAACAACTCTTTGACCCTTACAAAAACATCTTCACACCCATTGGCCCAGTCAATGAGGACATTGACTCTAGAGAGGGAGTAATGTCATAGTTTGGCCACTTTTTATCTTATCATCGACCATCTTATCTTATCTCAGCACAGATTATCTTATCACAGATCACGGCATCTGATGGTCCGGGCTAGGGGTCCAGGGGATCACCTTTATTGATCCAAGGCTGCGCGACATATGCTCCAGAAGGTTCTACTACAACCCATGACCAGTGCTCCATGCGGTACATAGCCTTGTGACTCATTAGTTGTAGATATGACTCAGACTGGATCTGGGTATAAATACTGTAGCTACTTGGTTGTATTCTCCAGTCTTCGAATTGACTTCTCTTTTTGACACTATTTCTTGTTGATTGTCACACATGCAGTAGAGGGCAGATTGGAAACCAGCAGTGAAGATAGCCCCATGGACCACCAAGGAGGCTGCAATAGAGCAGGAGAGAACAGATAAGGCTAAGTGGAAAGTGTTCACTGATGGTTCAGGTATTCACAGACACATAGGTGCAGCAGCAGTACTGTACCAAAGAGAGAGACTCATCGAAGTGGCAAAGAAGCATCTGGGTACAGATGTGCGCCATACTGTATAAAGAGGAGAAGGCATAGGTCTAAACCTTGGAGTTGGTCTGCTCATACAACAACGGAATCTATGCAGGGACATATCCATCTACACCGACAATACGGCTGCAATTGATGCCACAGCAAAAAGAGACCCAAACCCGTCACACTACATATGGGACATGCTAGACCTGCAGCTAAAGGAGCTACGCCGCAATCACCCTGATGCCAGGGTAACGCTACAATGGTCGCCAGGACACGTAGACATTCAGGGGAACAAGGAAGCAGACAAACAGGCAAAGGCAGCAGCGGAGCTGATGTTGAAGCTTGTTTGTATTAGCGACTATCACAGTATGTAGACATGACATCATAAGTAGTATTCTTAGATTACTTTGGCTCGTTCCACAATGACCTCATACCTGACCTCATTATTGCGTCATCCATTACTCATCTATGATATCATTACTCCACTATGACATCATGATATCTGCTCCAGACTGGTATATAAACCTAGTACTATACGCTCCATATCCTCAGCTCCTGTGTCTCTACACTCGCTGAGGTATGCATTCTCCCTTACGATCTAATGACCTTACTTATGACTTGTACCATAGACTCTGTCTTATAGGTACAGCTAATGATATAGCTCCTGTGTCTCTACACTCGCTGAGACTCTGTCTTATAGGTGATCGCTACTGGTCGTATCTCCACTGCGCGGTATTGTCTGCGACAGGTTATGGGCCCCGCCTGAACCACTAGCGGCAAATCAAGAAACATCGAACTACTCCCTTTACTAAGGCGAGTATCTTTTACTCGTTCAGCCCTTCTAGAGCGCCGTCTTTGTGCGCTTGTCCCACTTGCTGGATGTCGGTCCTCGCATTTGTGCTCTCACCCTCAAGGGGTTACGCGAGCGGCGTCAGGGAGTCATTCAGTTGGCAGACGCGCCGTTAGCTATTCCGTCCATGATTGCTCGCGCGCATTTTACGTTACATCTTTTTATTGTACAGCGGACATACCCACCAGGCACTGGTCCTTTGGTCAATCCCACTCCTGAACCTTGCATGAAGCGCCTAGGTGGTGTAGTAGCTCTCAACAGCTGCTGGAGGTCAATCCCTCCGCCAGGCAAAACGATCCTTTGGGGTTGACTCGCATTCCTCACAAGGGACCCTGCGGGCTGGTGACACTACGAGGATTCATGCAATGACATTCTGCGTGTATGCATGTCTTTAAAAGGGAGAAGATGGGCAGCCAAACCCGGTGCTTGGGACGGCCTTGGGCACGTGTCCCTTGGCCAGTGACGGACTGCGAGGGCAGTAATCACCGTTGGGTACTGCCGCCGCTGACGTATATAGTTACGTTACTTTGATACAAATATGGGCACTTACTATACCGCTTTATTTCGTTATCATTCCCTGCGCATATATGGGCATCATGGATGGGATAGGGACGCTTGGTTGCTCTCGTTTCAGAGATTTGGCACTTGGGATTTTGTTTCTTGGTCTGCAGAGAATCTGGGGCTGACTTTGTCGCTCTAGTCTCCATCTCTATCACCCTGTCATCACCGAACAATCCTCCTGTTGGGGTTATCCTATACCCTGTTAACTCTTGGACGACTTTCAGACACTCCTATCTTCCCATCAAATCTATCACCGGTGACATCTATCGGGTTGGTGATATCGACAATCAGAACAGCGATCAGGCGCAAGGAAATTTCACCGTCGCGCTTCGTCTTCTGTTTGGAGATCCTCCATACGTCAAACCTACTCTTCTCCACCATCACATCGCCGACGTCATCGAATTTCTTCCCACAATGTCCGGGATAGAAAAGCTTAACAATTCCATCCTGAGCGTCTTTGACGGCACAAACTGGAATACTTGGTCAGACAACTATATGAGCATATGCATGCACCAGGGCACTTGGGGGGTTGTGAAACCCTCTTATATCTCGGTTAACGGTACACCAGCTGCAAATATCGGTGCAGTCGAACGTCCTTCAACTGCTGGGGACTCCCAAAATCAATGGGACGTTGCCAATGAAAAGGCACTGGGTCTTGCGCGGGTTTATATTATCCAGAATCTGCGCAAGGGAATCTTTATGGACGGTCAGCGGGAGCGCACTGCGCGCGAAGTTTGGGCAAAAATGGCGACGGATTATGGCCAGCCAAATGCCATCGATGCTTTCGTCGAGTACGGCCTCCTGAACACCACCACCTTCCATGGTGGTGACACCATTGAGAAGCAAATCATGGAAATGGAGACTCGTTGTTGCCAGTGTTCAGAAGGAGGAATCAAGATCCCCGACTACCTCTTCGCGACTCTCATGCTCGCCGCCTTACCTGCTTCCAGCAGAGGTTTCGTCACCTCTTATCTGGCCAATCGTCCTATTGCTTCCTTAAACCCGGTAGATGTTAAGAACAGCGTCATTGGGAATATCAAGATCGAGAACCTCGACACGACGTCAAACTCGAAGATTTCCACCGTTCCGTCCCTCGCCACCTGCTGCACTCATTGTAACAAGTCCGGTCACGTTGCGGCATCCTGCTACAAGAAGTATCCCAACCTCAAGCCTACTGGTCAATCTTCTGACAAAGGCAAGGGGAAGCAGGATGAGGGGAAGAAGAAAAAGAAGAAGGAGAAGAAGAATAGTGGTGATGGTACCAGCACTGTAAACAAAGAAGTTGTAGCCGCTCCCGTGGTTGCAGCTGCCTCCAATGGAATGCACATTTTGTCCTATCTCATGAGTGACTCCCTCAAACACATCGATGATGGAATTTTTGTTGAAGAAATGGGAGACGATTCAAAAATTCGTTTTCTATGGGATTCAGGTTGTACGCATCACATGACAAACACCCGATCCGATCTTCACAATATCAGATCTATTGACACCTATGTAGTCGTTGGGTCGGGAGCTCGCTGCAAGAATGAAGCCATTGGAGATATTGTGTTGCGGGGTCATACTAGTAGTGGCATGGACTACACCTTCACGCTGAAGGATGTCATCTACAACCCGCACATAAGAGGGCGTTACCTTTCTGGGTATGCGCTCGATCAGGCTGGTTACTACACCGTGGTTGGTGACAACAAGGCAATCCTAGTCACCAAGGATTGGCTCAACAAGGGAAAAGCGCATGGGGATGTCTTGATGACCTTTAAAGCAAGCAATCGCTGCTACTGGTACTACCCCGAGGAGCTCGTGGCACCATCTGTGTCTGCATCTCACGAGTCTACCGCGCTCGCTTCCCTGGAAACTACCGATCGTGAATTGTGGCATAAGCGTTTTGGTCATGTGGCTCGGAGGACCCTTACTCACTTGCCGACACAAGTTGAAGGTGTTCCCCCCTTGCGACGCAATAAAGACCAGTGTGGCATGTGCAATGGATGTATGCTTGGAAAACAACACAAGCATCTGTACCCTGCATCAGAGAAACGTGCTAGCAAACCCCTCGAGCTTATCCACACTGATTTGATGGGCCCCTGGCCTACTCAGTCGTTGGAAGGTTCACGCTACACAATTTTGTTCTATGACGATTTCTCAAGCTTTGGCATGATGGTGTTTATTAAATCAAAGGACCAAGCCTCTACCGCAATTAAAAACTGTGTTGCCCTTACAGAGCGTCAGCTTGGCACAAAAGTACTGGCCTTCCGGTCAGATCGTGGAGGTGAATATATGTCCAATGAACTCACAGCCTGGCTCAATGCACGTGGTATTATGCACCCTAAGTCCGCGCCACGCAAACCATAGCAAAATGGGAGGTCTGAACGTTGGAATTGCACAGCCTACGAGAAAGCGGAATGCATGCGCCTCGATGCTGGCCTATCCAAAGGCTTCTGGCAATGTGCCATAGATGCATCTGTCCACGTTCATAATAGACAACCTATGGCACGATTGGGATGGCAAACACCTGTGGAACTGTGGCTTGGAAAGAAGCCAGATGTCTCTTATTTCCGTGTGTTTGGATGCAAGGCATCTCTCTATGTGGATGTTGAAAAACGCCCAAAAGGGTTGGAGCATGGACGCCCCGACCACATCTTTGTTGGATACAAACAAGAGACAAAAGCTTGGAAAGTGTGGGATCCAAATCAATGCAAGATACGAATCTCTTCAAACGTCGAGTTTGATGAGCAAGTATTCCCTGCCAAGTCCAAGCTAGTCACCGGCAATGTGTCCTCTGGACCGGAGCCGTTCATACCATTCGAGGAAACCTTCCCTGACCTTATCAATAATCCTGCGCCTGCAACGCCTTATGCAAGCATACCACCTCCTGCTCTCCCACCGCCACCGGCACCCCTCGCGCAACAAGGTCCTGTCACGGGATCGCGAGAAGTACCCCTAATGCCTGGCCCGATAGACGATTGCCCGATTGCCCATCGCCGCCCTCGTCGGAATAAGCCCCGCATTATGCCAGATGGAACTACGTATCAGAGGCCTAGCAGCATTGAGTCCATGTTATCAGCTGCCCAAGCTGAGCATGACTTGCCTCAAAGCGTACAGGACGTAGCAAAGAGCCTGGATGCACTCAAGTGGGAGCGCGCAATGCACGAAGAACTGGACTCTCTCGAGGAAAACTGTACTTGGGATTTGACCAGCCTCCCACGCAGTCGAAAGACTGTCAAATGCAGATGGGTGTTTAGCAGGAAGCGTGACGGTCGTTTCAAAGCACGACTTGTTGCCAAGGGATTCACTCAGGTTCATGGGTTTGACTATGATGAGACCTTCTTGCCAGTATTGCGCTACGAATCTTTGCGCATACTTATGGCTCTGGCTGCTCTCGAAGATTGGGAGATTCATGCCATGGATGTCAAAACAGCATTCCTAAACGGGGATCTGGAGGAAGAAATCTATATGGAACTTCCGGAATTACCCAAAGGTTTCTCGTCATGGCCAAAAGAAAAGGTGGCACGCCTTTGTAAATCACTCTATGGGTTGAAACAGGCGTCTCATCAGTGGAATATCAAAATCCACAATGCTCTCCTCGAACTTGGTTTTGCTCAGACATACTCCGACGCCGGTGTCTACACATATCGCCAACAAATGGGAGATACAGTCATCATCTTGGTGCTGTATGTTGACGATATGCTTATTATGGGCAACAATCTGCCGGAGATAGCGCGTATCAAATCCTTGCTCGCGAACCGCTTCAAAATGACAGATCTTGGTCCTGCAAAGGATTTCCTTGGTCTGAACATAGTTCGTGATCGCAAAGCGCGTAAAAACTGGATCAATCAGACTTCTTATATCGAAGGAGTTCTAGAACATTTCCGGATGTCTTCGTGTAAAGAAGCTCGTACTCCCCTGCCTTCCGGCATCGTGCTCGAGAAGCATGATGGAGAAGTTGATGAAGACCGTCGTACCCGTTACCAGCAGCTGATTGGCAGTCTTTTATATGCCATGCTTGGTACACGCCCCGACATTGCCTACGCAGTCATCCATCTTTCAAAGTTCAACAGCAACCCATCAGAACATCATTGGAACATGGCAAAATACATACTCTGGTACCTTCAGGGCACCAAACACTACCAACTTTGCTATGATGGTTCCACTGGCACAGGCCTTATCGGTTATTCCAATGCTGATTGGGCGGAGAACAAAGACGACAGGCATTCCACCATGGGATATTCCTTCTTCATCGCCGGTTGTGCAGTGACCTGGGTTTCTAGACGCCAACCCACGGTCGCTTTGTCCTCAACAGAGGCCGAATACATGGCTCTGAGCGATGCTACGCGCCAGATTGCCTGGATCCGCACTTTGTTGACTGAGCTCGGATATGACTTGCCATCCACGCCTCTTTGTGTTGATAACCAAGGCGCTATCTTTATGGCAGTAAATCCGGTTCATGATAGGAGGACGAAGCACATCGACATCCACTATCACTTTGTACGAGAATCTGTCAAAGCTGGCAATGTCCAACTTTACCATGTGCCGACTGATGCGATGATCTCCGACACGCTCACAAAGTCTTTGGCATGGGTGAAGTTCCAACAACATCGGCTGTCTTAGGGTCTTCGTGATCCGACTGTTTAGTCGAGTGGGAGTGTTGAAGCTTGTTTGTATTAGCGACTATCACAGTATGTAGACATGACATCATAAGTAGTATTCTTAGATTACTTTGGCTCGCTCCACAATGACCTTATACCTGACCTCATTATTGCATCATCCATTACTCATCTATGATATCACTACTCCACTATGACATCATGATATCTGCTCCAGACTGGTATATAAACCTAGTACTATACGCTCCATATCCTCAGCTCCTGTGTCTCTACACTCGCTGAGGTATGCATTCTCCCTTACGATCTAATGACCTTACTTATGACTTGTACCATAGACTCTGTCTTATAGGTACAGCTAATGATATAGCTCCTGTGTCTCTACACTCGCTGAGACTCTGTCTTATAGGTGATCGCTACTGGTCGTATCTCCACTGCGCGGTATTGTCTGCGACAGCTGACCCCCAGAAGTAGACCGGAGGCAGACAGACTCCTACACAAGAGCCTCTGAGGCATGCTACCCCATAGCAAATCAGCTGCGGTACAGCATCACAATATGCTCTTACAAACCATAGCAGGCAATGAATGGAAGGCCTCACCTCAATACGATAGATTCAAATTTTTGTTCAAGAAAACCCCTTCTGACTCCTTTCAGAAACTTATCAAGAAGATCTCACGACCGCAAGCATTGATCCCTGTCCAACTACGTACAGAACATGCACTGCTGGCGCGTTATCTACACCAAATTGGGAAGCCAGACTTGCCCATCTGTTAACACTGCCATTGGGTGGATGAAACCGTAGCCCACTACCTATTGGCATGCCCAACACACAAAGAAGAACGCCGACATATGAACAAAGCAGGTGGACAAAGAACCCTAAGCGTCACAAAGCTCCTGACAGATCCCAAGGCAATCCCACACCTGATGTGTTACCTGGTAGAGACGAGATGCTTTGAGAGAACACATGAAGGACTGGAGGCGGGAGATGAGAGCACGACAAGCCAACACACACAAACCAGAGCAAGAACCCCACCCACATAGACGGGCAATTATACTTCTATATTTAAAAAGCTCATATGCCCAAGCGACCGGCCATCCCCACTGCACCATTGGCCAACAAACCACCATGGACCCTACAGAAACCACTGGCTATAACAACGACATAGGACAAACAGGAGAATAATCAAGCTTAGGAGAATCAGAGAGAGCCAGACATATCCCTAACATATCGTATGCGACCACAGGGAATAACAAAATCGACTTTAAAAAGAAGTATCTGGGGAACTCTATCTCTATCTTGAACACCTGCATCAAGCATCTGAGCAATCATTCCAGCAATCCAGATTTTGTGTGGATCATCTGCTCAGAATTGGTCTAGCTACTATTCTGTGTTTGCTGCACACACAGGAGTCGGAGGCGGCTAAGATCAATTGGAAACCAAATACATTCACATATAGCTACAACAGAAGGCTCATAGCTACAGCAGAGCAACACATGCCAGGCAGGATTGTACAGGCTGTGAGCATGGGGAATGTAGAGGTTGCTTGCTTGATTGCAGTCACATGATGTGGACTGCGGATGACCTGGGCGATGGCATCATAAGGATCTTGGGGTAAGCTGGGAGCAGATGGATCCACTGCCACTTATAGGACAAGATGCAGATGCTTAGCACCCATTTGCAGAGCTTTGGTGTGGAGGATCACCTCAGATGCAGAGGGTACCCCCTACTAGGGGGTCAAAATGGATCAATTTTACCCCCCTTGGAGGGGGGGTACCCTCCGTGGCAGATGTTCCTTAGGTGGTCCTATCTGACTGCTCATCAACTTTGATTGGGAGTTTTGGCTGAGATTTGACTGCATTAAGGCAATGAGTATTTAGCCATCTCATTAGGTGGTAATTGACTGTAGCTCATGCTCAACTTGGTAGAGATATTGGTACTGAGGGTTGCGGTGTTAGGGATAGCACCAAAGATCATCATCACATACATCACTTCTATTTGACTGGCCCATACATCCCATTTCATGAATAGTAGCTGGAAATGCATCGATTGGGCAAAATGTATAGATGGAATGCGTTTGATAGCAGTGATGGTATGAGTATAGTTGGTGGCAATAGTAGTGACAGGCAGGTTATGATTTGACAAGAGGTGCAACGGATGAAGAGTGCATGTAACATAACAACAGCAAACGACGAGGGGACCTAATCTGTATCCATTTCATCAGCATTTCCAGCCGATGATGCCTCATTCTCCGCAGTACGGCCGCCAGCTAGAGTACCAGGAGTGGGTGCACCAAAGCTGGCAAGATACCGGCCAATGTCAGCAGTATTCTGCGGCTGGGGATGATGCAAAGTGGTATCGGCCGCAAACGGGTTACCGTTTCGTCGCAGTAGCGCCATAGCTCGTGACCGTGGTACATCACCGGCGGGCTCGGTACCAACTCGGCTAGGACCCGCAATTGCATTCAAGATTGCAGCTGGCCTGATTGCACGGATGGTGCTTGTATCAGTCACATCCACATTTGTCCGTTCGCGTTCTCTGGTGCGTCGATCTCTTCGCTCGCCAGCTCCTGGATCTTCTGGTACAATGGTTGCCGTACTTGTCGATGGGAGCATGCTCGTCGCATTGACTGTCGCATCGGGTGCATCATCTCCCTCTTTTGCACTGCACCAGAATCTGTGTCCCTCGCTCCATGCTGTGCTTTGGCAGTCCTTGCCACAGTACTTCGCTTTGCGGCATCGACGGCATTTAGCGAACTCGCGAGGGTAGGCTTCCCATCGACCGCAAAGCACTGCCAGACATCAGTTGAATTTACTGCCGCAAGAAACAAAACACATACTGTTGGCGCACTGACGGATTCCACCTCGGCTATCGTCCTTGCGACACGCATTGCGCATGATTACGCCTGCCCAATATTGGATCTCTGGCGGCAATTTCGGTGGAGGGTTGGGAAGATCGATTTCGCTTGAGGAAGGCCGGAAAGTGAAGCGTTCTACCAGTGAGAAAACATTCGTTTCATTGCCCGATCGCGCTGGAGCGGTGTTGCTCGGTTTTGCGGGCTGTGTTACGGCAGGAGGTCCGGTCCTCGACACAGGAGCCCTGCCCTCTTTTGGACCGAACGCACGGAAGAATGCCAGTTGTTGATTGACGGGACCCTGTCGCGCCTTTGACTCCGTAGGTCTGGGTTCTGAGCTTTCTGTCGGCAAAGTCTTGGCTGCTGCAACAGCCAAAGCACTGGCGGGATGGAAGCCATTCCGGCGCTTGTAGAATGCTTGCCTCACATGGGGATATTTGCTGAGGTAAGCAAGCAGCTGCAGCGAAAGCAGCACGTCTTCGTCACGGTACGGGCCAGTCTGGTGAGCAGCGTTATGTGAATGGTGGTGTCGTTCATTGCGAATGGCAGGGCCTGCCGGAGGGAGGACGATGGTGGGAACCACGTCTATACTATCCGTCGCAGCGACTCGCCGAGAGCGTGTTGTGACTGGTGGTGCCAAAGCAGGGACCCGAGGTGCACCCGGATTAGTCGGTCGAGATATCGGAGAAATCGGCCGCGCCGTCAATTGGGATGTGGATGCGATGGGCTCGGCGGTATCATTGTTTTCGGACATGCGAGCGGCACGGAGAGTTCCTGCCCGACGCATGGAGCCACCCCGATCGCGCACGGCAACGACCACTTCGCCTTCCTCTTCATCCATTTCACCCTCTTCTTCATAGACAGCCGACTCGGGAGCAGGCAATTGAACGACTCCTGCACGAGGCGTCTGTGTCTGCTCTTCTTCAACTCTCCTTCGACCGGTAGAAATAGGCGGTGCATCACTTTCCTCAGCGTCGGCATCCGTGTCGGCCCGAGCCTCGGAGTCGGTCCCGCCGGAAGCATGAGCGTCTGTGATCCCAACAGGGATGGGCATCCCACCCATCATGCCCAAAGCACCCATGCCCATGACCATGTTCATGTCCATCATGCCCCCGTCCAAGCCAAGCATCCCAACCTCCTCGTTCATCATTCCCATATTCAACATCATATTCGTCGCATCGCCGTCCATTCCATCATCACCTCCGAGCCCCATAGCTATGCCCATTCCACCTTCCTCTCCAACAATTCGAGGGTCGCGTGCAAGTCCCATCATCATAGGCATAGGCATGTTCTGGTTAATGGCGGTAAGATTTGCGTTTAAATTGGCTGCATTCATCGCAGCCTGCTCGACAGCAGCCTGCACCACATTCAACGGAGGTGGGCTGGGGCTCGCGCTCGCGCTGGAATCTCCAATCCTCGATCGCAGATCAGTGACGTTCGATGGCCCACTGACACCCATGGCCAGTCCAGCAACAGCAGCTGCGACCATCTCAACGTCGCCGTCACCGTCACCGTCGGTGTCGGTGTCGGTACGGGCACTGGGGCTGGGACTGGCACGGCTGCTACTGATCGAGCTGCCCACAGGCGACGCTCTACTAACCGGAGAAGCCAATGAGCTTGCCCGGCTCCGGGACCTTGCGTCAGGGCTTGCAGTGCTGTTCGGACTACCCGTGACACTGGTCGTGCTGAGGGCAGACAGTGACGGCGACGGCGGATGGCCATCGGGTAGAGAAACATTCTGCGCGGCGGCGAGCTGCTGTAAAGCCTGCAAAGCTGCAGCGGGAGATACCGGATTGTTGGCATTGGTGTCGCCAGAGTACATGTTCGTGTTGTCGCGACCGTGATTGTGACCGGAATTGTGCACGTGGCTGGTATCGCCCCGTCGACGAACCACGACGGTAGCGCTTCTATCCCGAACGATCGGCGTCGCGGCTTCGATGTCTTCTTCTCCTTGGTGTCGAGGGGAAGTCGCAGCCGCACGATGAATATGATTGCCGTCAGCACGTCGGGCTGCAGACGTATCGATGGCTAATGAGCGTTGAGACGTATGGGATGAGTCCTGGGGAACCATATTAGCCAAGGGCTCGATCAAAGCAGATGGTATGATATTGTTGCAAGGCACCATCGATACACGCCGAAAGCATGTACGGGAACCGCAAGAACAAACTGATATCCGCAGATGGAAGGCGAAGGGAAAGCCTCAATGGTGGAACCGGAAACGTGACTCACCAATTCACCGCGAGTTCTCCTAGAAGCAGCAGCAGCTGCGGCTCGTCTCGCTGCTCTGGCTTCCCGACTCTCGCGAGGAAGGCCAGTGGCGCTTGTGCTTGGACCAACAGCAAATCCTCGTCCAACCAGCCACGCCTCGAGGATGCACCCCACAACATCTAGCGTACCAGCTTCGACAACTCGACTGCGGATCGGCTCACTACCACGGACGCCAATATTGACAACGCATTGGAAAGCGAGGCTGAAACGATACGCGGCGTGTTTATCGAACTGGCCGGAGGGTGGGTTTAGTTGCGGAGCGGGCCGAGGAGAGTAGTAGTTCGGGGGTAATAGCCCGAAGAAAGAGGACGCTGGAACGGGTGGTGGTGGAGAAAAGCAAAAGTCTCGAAGAATTCGAACGAGACGCTCAAGTCCGCCATCCATGGTCATGATTTCGCGGATACGAGGAGAGGTCGACGTGAGATAAGTTAGATGTGTCAGGGAATTGAAGAGCGGCAAAGGCGCCGATGTGTCCAAAGCTATCGAGACTGAATTACATTGGTGTACATGAGGCAGAGCGACTCGTACCTCGTCGGTCATAGAGCTGGGAGGTGATGCACACGCAGGCCTTGTTTTGGGCCGGGAAAGCAAAGTTGCTCTCGCGCATTGCTGTTCGTTATAAGACGTGTCCAAATGAGTTCAGCTCAATCCTGGTTGTGGTTGAAAGTAGTCGTTTCCGGAGCTCGCAAGTCGAATATGAGATGGGCGTTCCCGCACTATAGTCAAGGAAATCGGAGCGCGGGAAGTGGAGGGGAACAAATCGAGCAACAAAGAGATGAAGGATGTTGAAAGCCACCGGCCTCGGTCAGAAGAGCGTCCAAATAGTAGAGGAAGGAGACAGGTCTGGTTCACTGACTGATGAGGAAGCGGTGTGTACTCTTGTTATTCATTCTCCTCGATCCTTTGATCATTCGCTTACAATTGTGGCACTCTCTTTTGACTCACTGACATGTCCCATCGTTGGCCTAGCGGCATGAACAGACGCTGGCTTCGTTCCATTTACTGAGTCAGCGACAGACTTTCTCGTGTCAAATCCTTCCCAAACTGTAGAAACAGCAATGTAGATAGGATCCACAGTGTTTAGAAAAGCAACCGACTGGACAAGCTCGAATCGTCTTTCTCCCGTTCTCAAGATGCGATTTGACATCTATATGACTCTCCTCTTGCCACCTTGGGGTTGTTACTGCCAGTTGGGCTGCCCCAGGTGGATGATTGGAAGAGCAATGGTTGATGAACCCGACGCTCAGCAGCAGGGACATGGACTTACCATCCGACATCCGTCATCCCAGTCGGTGACCACGCCTGTTATACGCATGCTGCATGCATGTCTTACGTCGCTGATCCAGCGAGTTTGATGTCCAAATCGACCGTTACTCTTGTGCAGTCCCGAAGCAATCGTCGTCTTGCCTTGCTCCAATTCGTGCTATTCGCAGCTGAGGGAAAATGCTTCATTATCCAAACAGCTACATAGGAGAGTCACAACGAGAAATTCGTCGATTTACCATACACAAAGAGGATTTAAGGGCATAGGTGATGGAGAAACAGAGACTAAGGAGATCGATCATACGCAAGGATAGAGGGACGTAACAGAGAGAGAAAGTTTGCAGTCACATCCGGCACCAGGACCGGCAAGCAGAGATATGAAGCCGACACGCTGTTCGTTTCTCAGAACCATGGAACGTCCTCTTGATGCAGCCTTGGATTGCCGAACTAGGAACGAGAAATCGTGGGGTACCGAAGCTCTGCAAAGAGAGGTTCGCTTGGGACCAATGAGTTAGTTTATCACCACACGTTTCACCGTGCATCATGTTCCACAACAATCATGGATAGTTGCCGATTCGCTGCTTGTCGTTGGTTGTGAATCAGTGCATTGCACTGCACTCACACTGCGGCGTTCTCGAGACGTTCCCCGCGAGCCAAGAGACGTACAACACCCGCGTTAGCTTCCATAGCCAAAGCAGCGGCAGGTCGCTCCACAAGATTCGCACCCCCGGTACCGCCGCCTCTACGAGAGGGCTGCGTGCCCGATCGGGGACGGCTAGCAGGGTTGGTGCTGGCACTGCCATGATTTGGATTGGCATTGGGTGCAGAAGCTTCGATGTGCAGCACCCTGATACCGGCTAGCTTGGCCCACTGCGACACAAGATTACCCGTCGTCCTGGGCTCATGCTTGCCAGCTCCTTCAACAGGGTTTACGTGAACTCCTTCGGAAGAAAGTACGGCGACGGCGACCTCGGAGATATTCGTACGCTTCCGATCTTGCTTCGAGTCAACGATGTACGCATCGACTTCCCATCGCGCACAACAGATGGTGCGACGCACCCATTCAGGAGCGATGTCGGTGGCTTCAGCGTTGGCGTCCTTGGCAACAAAAGAGAGAGCATCCCAGGGAACAAAAGCGTCGTCTTGTTGGACCTTAATGCGCGGATTTGAGCCCACTTGAGACTCCAAGAAACGTGATGCTGCCCGAGCCCGCTGAGCTACGGGAGAAGTCCCTTTCTTGAGCAGATCGAGAGTGTTGAGAGCTAGCGGATCAAAGAGCTCGATGACGACGAAACGAAGGGAGTAGAACCATACATACCTTCGAGTGGAATGATGACGGTTTCCTTTCGTCCATCGCGGGACCACCGCTTCAGTTGATGCAGTGCATGCACAAGGACACTTGCATCCACCACAATCACCACCACACCCGATTCCGCATCCTTCTCTTTGGTGTCTTCAAGTGAGAGGCGGGCGGCTGCCGCTATCGCCAAGGGACCGGTATTAACGTTTTGAAACTTCTTGGTCGGCGTTTTCGGATTGGCAGCTTTACTGTTACTGTTGTCGGTAATCTGAACCGGCCTACGCTTGTTCGAAGCTTGATGAGATGAACGGGCACGCCAGTTGGCTGAGGATGCGGCGCTCTTCTCGAGCTGCTCCACTTGGTGGTTGAGGAAGGCCGCACCAAGGGCGCGAGACATGGCCTGGGCGGAGCAGAGTCAAGATTTAGAGCAGCGGTCCAGTCATGCGAAAGATTTGAGTATACCTTCGTATCAGTCATGTGCGGTCGAATGCGTGTGTCCAAGTGTGGTGAGGAGTGGTGGAGTATGAAGTCGACAAATATGTACGTGAGCGGCCGTCACTTTCAGACGCAGTGCGAGACAATGATCCGAATGAGGGATGGAGAGACGAGAATGTTAGATGGCTATGTAGATGATGAGGGACACAAGTCGCTGAAGTGGGTGAGATCTCAGTACGGATTGAGTGTGCTTGTCACTGTGTGGGCATAATCTTGTAGCTGTTTAGCGGCTGTGCATCTTTTCAAACGCGTCTTGGTTCCACGAATGTCCTCGGCAGCATCGACGTCCACACCCGTTGCCCACAATGCTGTCCCCCCAGCAATGGCCACGGCTGGCAGGTCCTCTCGCATCGCGCCCCACTCGCATATCAAAGGGCTTGGATTGACCCCAGATGGCTCGGCTAACACCGATGGTTCGGGGTTCATTGGCCAAGTAAACGCGCGCGAGGTGTGTTGAGTATCTTGGAGCGTGCCAGTAGGATTTGAAGAGTGCTATCGCGTCTAGGCATGTGGTGTCATCGTCGATCTCATTAAGTCGCGAAAATTCTCGGGACGTGCGCTTTTGCTCGTGGGTGCACCGGGGACAGGAAAAACCGCACTGGCGTTGGCCGTGTCACACGAGCTCGGCCTAAAAGTCCCGTTCTGCCCTATGGTGGGTTCCGAAGTGTACAGCACTGAGGTGAAGAAGACGGAGGTTCTAGCTGAAGCTTTCCGTCGCGCGATTGGTGCGTGTTAGCGCGTCGTGCAAACTGCAATCCATACTCAGATTGAACAGGTCTCCGTATCAAGGAGACTAAAGAGATTTATGAGGGCGAAGTCACGGAATTGACACCCACTGAATCTGAAAACCCTCTAAGCGGCTATGGAAAGACTGTGTCCAATGTCATCATAGGCTTGAAAACAATGAAGGGAACAAAACAGCTTCGCATGGATCCCGGTATCTATGAGGCCATACTCAAAGAAAAAATTGTCATCGGGGACGTCATCTACATTGAGCAGCAGACTGGCGCCGTGAAGGTGAGCGGCAGCAATCGATCTACAATGCAGTCACTAAAGCAATCCAGCGCGTCGGACGCTCTGATGCATATGCTTCGTCATTCGATCTCGAATCTGAGACATATGTACCTGTACCTAAAGGTGATGTACACAAACGCAAGGAGCTAGTTCAAGACATCACTCTCGGAGATCTCGATTCTGCAAACGCAAGGCCGCAGGGGGGACAAGACATTATGAGTGTTATGGGGAGCCTCGTGAAGAGTGGCCGAACGGAGGTGACGGATAAGCTGCGAAGAGAGGTTAACAAAGTCGTCAAAAACTATGTCGATCAAGGTGTAGCTGAGGTGGTCCCCGGTGTGGTCTTCATCGACGAGGTGAGTGAAGATCAAATTATGGCTTCTTGGAGTACTAATCGGGTGTAGGTGCACATGCTGGATATAGAGTGTTTCACTTACCTTAATGCACTGCTTGAATCGCCCATGGCTCCTACAGTCATTCTTGCCACAAATCGAGGCAATTCTTTGGTCCGTGGCACATCAGACATTGTTTCACCGCACGGAATACCCGTGGACCTACTAGACAGGTGAGCCACCTTCGAGCCGGAACATTCACTCAACGACAATAGGTGCATGATAGTGAAGACAGATGTCTACACGCGTGATCAAGTGGGCAAGGTTGTTCAACTCCGTGCCAATGTCGAAGGACTGCGCTTGGGCTCTGGAGTTCTGGATCGATTAGCTGGAGAGGGCGAGAAATCTTCTCTGAGGTGTGTTCCGATCTTTGAGCTCATCGATCTCGACCTGACGGCCTTCAAGATATGCTCTTCAACTTTTGACACCTGCTTCCATCCTTGCAACCCTGTCTGGACGCTCTCAGATCGAGACGGAGGACATCAGTGAAATGGGAGAACTGTTCTTGGATGCCAAAACTTCGGCTGCCATTGTTGGGAACGATGGCCGCTTCCTTGGTTAATCTGACTCTGCCCGATAATGGTATCTCCCTTGTTGTAGACTAGACGATCTACGGTCCAATTCCTGATCCCGAGTCAGAGAATGAATAAAATAATCGGTACCTAACATACACCCTACGCGAATCAATCTAGTCTACCTGATTTACCGTACGCATGGTCCCTGTCAACATAATCGTCCGCCAGGAAGCGGCGCAAAGCCAGGTAGACAAGAAAAACCGACACCACGGCAAATCCGAGCGAATAGATTGGATGGTGAATTACATATCCCTCGATTCCAGTCATTTTCCCGTTCAGGAACTGGATAGGACGACAAATCAGAGCTCGTTGTTGAAATGAATCGAACAACGCACCCTTGCGACACGTTCCATGAAGTTTTCGGAATTATTGGGTGAAATTGAACCGCTCACAGCGCCTTCCAGAGCAGAGAAAATGCTGGGGGAAGCCAGTTTGATCAGTGCTCCAGACTGGTCCCTATTGTAGTACTTCAAGATCTTGCGCAGATCATGAGAACCAAGAATTTCGCAGACAGATGCGACGCACCTGATGATCGGTGATGACTATACCCGCATCCTCTGCTTCGTCACTGGCGCTCTTCTGCAATCCATACATACTTTTCATCCATTTCTCCCATTTTTCGATATCCATCCACGTGAAAACAACAGAACGGCCGCCATACATTCCGGTTCCACCAGTTCTAACTCTCCACTTCAACCCGATATCCCGGAGTCGCTCAATGACTTTGCTCTCTGTCTTACTTGTGACGGCAGCGATGACCACTAGGGGCTTGTGCGGTGCATTCATAATGCTCTGGAATGTGTCTTGCACGAGTTCCATCGAAGTCGGTAGCCGATTTGCCAAGAGCCAATCCGATAGATCGTTTTTGGGACTTGCATTTCCCAGGTACATTGCAGCAACACTGTGTGGGTCCCGATCTTTAAGGGCGACAATAGCCCACGGGGCTGATTCTGGGACAGAGAAACGCTTCCACAAGGTGGGGGATGAACTTGTGAAGATGATGGGAGAGCCGAGCAGAGGAGCTGCGTATTTAGTGACTGTTTTCTGTGAAAGCTGAGAGATCCGATAGTGCATCAAACGATGTATACCTACAATAACCCGCGTGTCGTTCTCAGAGTAGAGAAGGAGATAAGTGGCCGGGTTCTCCAGAACTTTCGCTTCAAGTTCTTCTGGCTGTATAGCTTGCGTGGCCCTGAGAACGCTTCAGAGCAGCAAAGGACACATCGGATGTGACTCTTACGACGAGCTGGCCTTGTCAACAAAGGCTTTCAGCTGCTCCAGCTTCCGTCCCATTGTATACTCGGACTTGACGCCAGTCGGTGGGTAAAACATCAACGTTGGAAAGCCAGGAATATCTTGCGTCTTGCAAAACTTGTCGTGTGCCTCGCAATCAACCTCAGCGATATTCATTTTGCCTTTAGAGATCTTGGCGAGTTGCTTCCAAATGGGTGCAAGTTTCTTGCAGTGTCCGCACCACGGCGCGTAGAATTTGACAAAGGTAGGGCCTTCCTCGAGTACTGCGTGGAAGTTGTCAGGGTTGAGTACACGAACCTCCCCATTAGGATTGAGAAGAGGCTCTGGAGAAGGGGACGACACTGCCGCTGCTGCTGCGACTGATTCTGCTGCTGCTATTGGTTCAGGAGCGGAAGGTTTGGCCTTGTCGATGAACGCGGTAAGGATATCGTAATCACGGTTGCCCTTGAAGCGCTCGACGAATTCCCCATCTTTGTAAAGATTCATTTGGGGATATCCTTTGACTCCGTTGTCGTTGCATAGATCTATTCGTTGCGGATTTAGCAGCACGTACGATGCAAACTGGTTTGATCTTACCGCCATGAACGGAACAATCAACTTGGGCCAATGATACCCCCTTCGAGCTCTCGCTGTACTCCACAAGTCTTTCCCAAGTGGGAGCGAAGGCACGACAGTGCCCACAGTACGGTGAGAAGTGCTCAATGAACCAGACACCCTTGGCAATCGTTGAGTGGAAATTGTCTGGTGTGAGTGGAGGCTTTAGCTGGGCTGTCTGTACCGGCAGAGCAGCGCATGCGAGTGCAAAGAGGATAAGCAGAAGAGATATAGGCAGTCCTCGCATCGCCCGAAGAGCTGGGCCCAGCATAGCGGAAGTGAGTAAATAGAGGTCGGCGACTCGGCGACACGACACGGCTGAGCTCAGCGATCGAGCGGTGATTGCCGTTGTCCATCAACATTGACCTCGGCCACGTGGTCGCACCCTCCTCCATGACTTGGATGTCCCATCACGTTCCCGGCGCCCGCGGCCTCTTGCCTTCAGACAAGACAGCTGGAACATATTTATCATGATGCAACAGTCGCGTCTCTCTGACTTGAATCATCGAGACGACCCTTCGATATGGCGTCCCGACTTGAGCAGCCTGCACTGGCTGAATTCGATCAGGCTCCGTCTCAGCCCAGACTTGGATCGCTTACTTGGAAGAAGCCTACAGCATGGTGGTCAGCAAACTCCAAGATGCTCTCTATTGTATTCAGGGAATTTGATCCTCCTCTCTGTCCAGGATCATGTTTCTCGCGCCGTTCAATGTCATCGTCGAGTCCGCCATATTCAGCGCACAAGTTGGGCTCTACGGTGACCTCGTTTGCCGCTTCCGACAGGAAGTACTCGCGCCGGAAGCGCCCTGCGCTTCAGATCCCGAGGTCCAGATCATTGTCACCAAGCTTATCTCAGGTGGGTGTCTGGTGCGTGCGTGAGTTGTGTAATCGCACTCAACATGTACAGTCATTGTCACAACGACAGGCGTACTGAGTCTGCTTACTACTGGTTGGTGGGGCTCATTCACGGACCGACGTGGGCGACGAGTAATGCTTGGAATTGGAGCCTCCGGTTATCTGGCGCTCTGTGTCAATACCCTGCTCGTCATCAATTTCAGCAACTGGCTTCCGGGCGGATATTGGTTCCTCGTCATGAATGGAATCCTGCACGGGATAGTCGGAGGTACTGTGTGCCACAGCTCATACAGCATCATTTCTGTTGACGTTATCTTCCAGGCTCGGCGGCTGAGAACACAGCCATGCTGGCATATCTCTCAGATGTCTCGAACTTGTCCACAAGGCAAATGGTCACGAACAAATTGCTCGATTCCATCTGACAACCGGCAAGGTCTCGTATATTCTCTGCTGCGTTTGGGTGTTTGGTGATCGGTATTGGTATTGGCCCAATGCTTGCGAGTTTGCTCATCAGGTATCCGAACCTCTCACCTGGCAATCAGATTATCGCATACTAATTCTCCTCCAGATATACGCAAAGCGTATCGGTTGTATTTTACGTAGCCACTGGAATCAAATTGGTCTACACACTCACCGTCTGGTTCATCTTACCAGAATCCTCAACCCCTGGACAGCGCGAAGAAGCCAAGGCCAAATACGAAGCTTTCCAAACGACCAACGCCGGCATTCATTGGGCGAAGAGATTGCTAGTCCCGATTGAACCTCTTCTCATTATCCTCCCTCGCAAACAGCCAGGCACCAACAAGAGGAGCTGGGATCTTTTTCTGCTGGTTCTTGCGGATGGTTTGGCCCTGATGGTCATCGTGAGTCCTCCAATCGCACTGTGCGTTGCTACGAGCTGAAGAGTCGTCCAGGCTTCCATCATCTTCCAGTTCTTGTACACTGTGGTCGCGTTCGGTTGGACCGCTGAATATGTCAGTTCCTCTCTCCAAGCATTCGCACTATATCTGCTGATGATATTTGTAGATTGGGTACTGTTATAGCACGCTCAACTTTGCAAAAGCGATCTATCTCTTGTCAGTCCTTCCCTGTGAGCATCTCGTTGTTGAAGAACTTGTGCGTGCTCTTTACCAACCTATCACTCACTCAGTGGGTATCCGATATCTCAATTCGAGATCGGAACGGGCTCATGTCTCTTCCGAAACCCAATCCTTATTAGCTGCGCGTCCAGCGCCGAGCTCTATCGTGGTCGACTTCAAGATCGTCCGGTTGTCAGTGCTCGCGGATCTGGCCACGTTTCTGCTGCTCCCTTTGGCTCCGAACGGGAAGGTCTTCATTGCCGCCATCGCTTTTGGCGCCCTTGGTTCAGCCATTGCTCCGGTCGTCAGAAGTGTGGCGTTGGAGTTGTACACAAAAAGTCTGGGGGAGGGAGAGCCAGTGGAGTCGGGCAAATTACTGGGAGCGCTCAGCATCTTACAAGCCTTGTTGTGAGAGAATCCTCATGTCTGTATTGTGCTTGCAACTGACTATCTTGCAGTGGGTCTATCATTGGCCCAGCTTTCTATGGCGCAGTCTACGCAGCCACAGTCGCAACTTTCCCCAGAGCTATTTTCCTCGTCGGGATAGCCAACTGCGTGCTGTCTTTGACTCTTCTCAGTTTTGTCAAGCTCGGATCCAAGCCCGTGCACAGCAGAGCCTACATAGATAGACACTAGAACGACCGAGACAATAGATGTCGGCAATCCCTAAAGTAGGCGTCCAGAGGACGGTGACAAGGATGTTGATTGTACACAGCTATCAATGCCAAACCAACCCCGCCAATGCCTCCGAAAGCTGCTCCCGACGACTCGTGATCGAGCATGATCGTCGTTCGAACTGTAAACGATAGCTGATCCGCGCAATTATCCGTGGGAGCACATATATTCGCGCCCTGTGTGCCGATAGATGAGCGAGAAAAGTCCGCTACTGGACGCGGTTCCTGCGACCGGACGTCAGTTCCGGAGAGTATAAGTATGCGGAGGATTGTCAGATATCGCACATTGCCTCCCTCAGCACGCTGCACGCAATGATAAGATCGACGTTCCTTGCGCTCTCGCTCGCTGCAGTGGCATTGGCGCAAGCCCCCGTATGGGGCCAATGTGGCGGGTTGCAATGGACTGGACCGACCAGTAAGCGTTTGCGTCGCCGGTTGAGTTCCTTCTGAATTCGTATATGCAGCTTGCACGACGGGCTGGACATGCGTTGTCTCAAACCCGTACTTTTCTCAATGTATTCCCGCCACGACGAGTGCGCCTCCGTCGAGTACCCACAGCACCACAACGGCCCCGCCATCGAGCAGCAGTCACAGCGTAACCAGTGCACCTCCTTCCAGCACTCACAGCACAACAACGTCCGCCCTGCCGCCCGTTTCGACAGGCTTCATCAAGACCTCAGGGACGCGATTCACTCTGAACGGGAAGCCCTACACGGTAGTAGGGCGAGTGCAACTCGTTATCTAATCTTGCACGTGGCTGATCATAGGCATCATCTTCCAGATCGAACGCCTACTGGCTTCCTCTCTGGGGACTCAGCACAGCCGACATCAGTGCCGGAATCGATGGAATCGTTAACAGCAGCGCCACCACGATCAGGTGTGTGGTTGCGCCTGTTCTCGGGAGCGGTTGCCAGACTGAGGCTTGGCAGAACATGGGGCTTCAACGAAGTCACGTCCCCGAGCGGGGTGTACTTCCATCTCTGGAATGGCTCCACTCCCACTGTGAACACTGGCGCTGACGGACTGGGCGTGCTCGGTACGTTCCGCACTTTCCCCAGCCGGTCGACCTGTGAAATGAACGCACGCGCCCTCCAGATACTGTGATTTCGCTCGCGAAAGCCAAGGGGCTGCATGTGATCATCGCGCTGACCAACAACTGGGGTGACTATGGCGGAATGGAAGTCTACACGAAACAGATCTTGGGCGCTGGACTGCCCCATGACACGTTCTTCACTAATCCGACGGTCATCGCGGCCTTCAAGACGTACGTCAAAGCAATCGTGACGCGGTACGCCAATGAGCCCGCAATCATGGTTTGTGTGATCACTTGCCAGCGTGATTTCTCCGGCTGACTTTGCTTCTAGGCCTGGGAATTGAGTGGGTATCCATGTTGAGAAAGCCACGCGATCTGATTGAATTATCCGCAACTTAGTGAACGAGCCGAGGTGTGGAGGAACCGCGTACGTTGTTATCCGTGTCCTTCTTGTCCTCCTCTCATTCTCCACATCAGCCCGGCATCAGCCACATGCAACAACACGGTGATCACGAACTGGGCGGCGGACATTTCTGCGTACATCAAGTCCATCGACCCGAACCATCTCGTTGCGATCGGCGACGAGGGATTCATCAACCAGCCGGGCAACTTCGATTACCCATACAGCGGCGGCATCGGTATCGACTTTGCCGCTAACCTGCAGATCAAGACGCTCGATTTCGGAACAGTGCACGTGAGTCTACCGCGGTGAAATTGCCGTATGCCCGTTGCTGATATATCTCAGATGTACCCCGTACGATCCGCCCGGGCCGAGCTCTCCATGTGCTGACGCATCCCACAGGACAGCTGGGGTGAGTCGGCCAACACCGACTCGTGGGGCGTCCAATGGATCAAAGACCACGCGACGATGATGAAAGCTGCGAACAAACCCGTGATCCTCGAGGAGTTTGGTGTCACCCCGTCTTCATCTCGGATCAACGTGTACACGGACTGGTACAATGCGGTGCTCAGCAGTGGGCTGACCGGTGATCTTGTCTGGTGGGTTTGGGGCATCTGCATGCATTCATTCTTGAGCTGACCGACTCTTTTTTTAGGCAAGCCGGAACACCGTTGGCTGCCGGGCAAGCGCCGCCTGCCGATCCGTATATGATTTGGCCCACAGATCCGGTGTATCAGCTCATGCAGTCGCACGCCGCTGCACTTGCAGCGAGAGGGTAAATGTGTGTGTTTTCGTTGGGGGGTAGTCAGTATCAATCTCGCAATTCAATTGTACAACCAGCACTGTCCTGCGCAGACTAGTTCTCGAATTCGATTGTGTCGTAGTCGAAAATTTCTTCCAGAGAGAGATGCATTCCCTGTTTATCTCTTCAATCCTAAAAGTCAACGGGTGTATAGCTCGAGACGCTCTCGATCTGTTTCGTTTCCTAATCCGATCTCATTCGTAAATCCATTTGCTTGTTATAATCCGCGCCGTGTAAATACCTGCGAGCGCAAAAGTACGACTTGGAATATCAAAATCGCGCTTGCAGACGAAGACCCCGTCTCTCGTAACGCGTTCAAGTTCCTGGTGCTGCAGGTCACTCACCGAGTTTCTCCACCCGGCCATCCCTCCCAGACTTCCATCCATCCTATCTATCGTTCTACGCTCTTCATCGATCATTCCTTCGTAGCTTGTCAAGATCTGCATCTGGGTAACTTCAGCGCCCCGGGAACCAAATGTCGAGTCCAGCTCCATGTGAGCAGACTGAACATTTCACAAACGTGATTAGATGAACTTCAAATAATGCATTTTCTTTGACATTGATTACACATGCTGGCTACGCGACTCAACCTCTTGCCTTGAGGGCTGCGGCGTTTTGCTGCATCAGTTTGTAGACGGGGTCCGTGGGGAAGATCATGTTGCCATCGTCAGGGGTGGGGCCACCGCTGAGTTGGGATCCTGCCTGCCAGACGAGCACACCAGTCAGGCCGCTGCTCACGACGGTGTTGTACCAGTCGGTGTAGATCGTAGGCGCGTGGGCGACGAAGTGACACCGAACTCTTCGAGGATAACGGGCTTGTTCGCTGCTGTCATCATCGTCGCGTGGTCTTTAATCCATTGGACGCCCCACGCCTCGGCGTTAGCTGACTCGCCCCAGCTGTTCTGCAGAGACAGTTAGTAAGCAAGACCACCGCGGGTCGGCGGGGCGGACATACCGGGTACATCTGGAAATAGTCAGCGAATGGGCCACGAGCAATGAGCGGGACACTCACGTGCAATGTTCCGAAATCGAGCGTCTTGATCTGCAAGTTTGCGTTGAAGTCGATGCCGATGCCGCCGCTGTACGGGTAATCGAAGTTGCCGGGTTGGTTGATGAAGCCCTCGTCGCCGATTGCCACGAGATGATTAGTGTCGAGGGTCTTGATGTACGCAGAAATGTTCGACGCCCAAGCGGTGATAACCGTGTTGTTGCAAGCGGCCGAAGCGGCCGATGTTCCTCCACACCTCGGCTCGTTCACTGATTACCGATGCAATGGTCAGATCGAGCACAGCAAGAAAGGTGTTCACTTGCTCAGTTCCCAGGCCTAAAACACATCAGCCGGGATACTTCTCTCAAGACGATTGTGGACACACCATAATCGTGGGCTCGTTGGCGTAACGCGTGACAACAGTCTTCACGTAGCTCTTGAATGCGGCGATCACAGTCGGGTTGGTGTAGAACGCGTCATGGGGCTGGCCGGAGCCGAGGATCTGCTTGGTGTAGACTTCCATTCCTCCGTAGTCGCCCCAGTTGTTCGTCAGCGCAATGATCATGTGCAGGCCCTTGGACTTGGCCAGCGCAATCACACCGTCTGCCATATGCAATGAGAGGCGCCCCAGTACAGCACGGGCCGGAACACGGACCGAGATAGGCAAGACCGTTCGCGCCAGTGTTGACCGTTGCAGTGGCTCCGTTCCACAAGTTGAAGTAGATTCCGCTCGGGGACGTCACCTCGTTGAATCCCCACGTCCTGTCCTTCTCTCAGTTTACATCCATCCCGTTTGGAATACGACGTACCTGAATGTGGTAGAGCCACTGTTCACGATATCGTTCATCGCCGTGTTCAGATCAGCGGAGCCATATCCGAACAGCGTCATCCAGTACGCGTTGGTTCTGAACCACGGTCAAAATCGAATCAAAGTATTCTTGATATTGCCGCACCCAGCGACCGTGTAAGGCTTGCCGTTCAACGTGAAGCGTGTCCCCGAGGTCTTGACGAACCCGGTGGTGATGGGCGGCAGCGCCGCTACGGTCGTACTGACCGCGGTCGTGGACGACCCTGGTGCGCTGGTAGGAGGCGTAGGCGGTGCTGTGGTCGTTCCAGCAGCACCCGGGATACACTGCGAGTAGAAGGGATTCGAGAAAACACACGCACGCAGAACCAGCCACACACGCTGCACAGAGCCGCCCCGCGTAAGCCCTCACAAGCTGCAAAAAGGCTGCGGCTCCACTCACTGGTCGGTCCGGTGTACGTCGGCCCACCTCCGCACTGGCCATAGATAGGAGCCTGCGCCAGCGCCACACTGGCGAGCGAGAGAGCCAAGAACCCGGTGCGAAGCATTTTCTCGGTGGATGACGCTTCTTGGCACGACGCGCGACTTTATATCTGCATGTACCCGGACTTTTCTCGCACACCTATCGGTTTACAAGGTTGCAGACCGTATCACGTTCGTGTCTCCCCGTCGTGAGGCGCCGACATGTCCATACGGATAATTACGCGGATCATGGGGTCGGTCAAAGAAGTGACCATGTGAACGTGGCTGGTGTGTTCGGAGGCAATGTTGTTACCAGACGGCCCTTATTGAATCGAAACATGGATTTCCAGGAGTAGGTGATGAGCAACCGAAACAAGGCCGGTAATTTGAGCTTTCAAGTCAAATGCAGAGTCAAGTGTCGCATGCCGAGGCTAGCCAAGTTCGAAGAATGGTGGCTGTGCTCAGCTCTCAACAAGTCGATTATGTCCGACAGCAGGAATCGATAGTTAGCGCAGATTTCAAAAAACTACGCAGCGAATCATAGAGCGCATATATATGTATGACAAGCAAGTCAGTATACATATAAGTGGCGATACGCTAAATATAATCCAGTCGCCTTCAGACTCGAATTATCATCATCAGTGTCCATCTGGATCTGCGCGAAATCGCTCGTCACAAGACCGCGGACGCTTGCCTAACAACAGTTCCAGGAACGGGATACTTCTCCGAAGTTGCATTTTGAAGCGTCCGAGCGCGCCGAGCGGGGGAAATGGTATGTCTCAAAAGGTAATCCAGAATGGGGTTTGTCCGACTGTCGACAATGAGATGAGGACGCGCAGGAGGAGCATGTCATCTACGTACTCTCTGCCAACTTGCTAACTTGAGCCCATCGTCGGACCCAAGAGACATAATCAGCGTCACGCCTTGTTATCCCGAGTTTGCGAACTACAATATCAGAGTTCTACGACCTGGGCGAGATATTCGTCTGAATTCTGATCTTGCATAAAACCAGCTGGCACATCAAGCGTGAAAGACGGGGCGTAGAGTGGAAAAAAACTGTGGTCGGGAATTGGAGCTTCCAACGACAGCGGTTTTCCGACCTGCATCGAAAGAGTATATCAGTCATATCACCAGTCGGACTTAAGGTCAGATCGCACAACTAGCGAGGTCAGATAAGCCCAGGCCTAGCTGCGTTGGGTCCATCGTATCCTCCGCCTCCAAGCAGTAGTTTCTTGCCCCGCCAGCCATTTACCACACGGTCAACACACCAGCCTAGGGAGCCTTCTTCAGGGCCGAGAGACCAATTGAACGTCCCGCATGGATCGCCGGCAAGGCCATCTACTCCGCATTGAAGCACCACAACATCCGGATCGAAGGCTTCTCGCACATTCTCAATGGACTGCCAGATACGGCCGAAGGTTTTGCTGCAGGCGCCCGGCCGGAGCGATAGTGAGATGGTGTAGGGATCGCTGTTCTCAGTCGGCAGTTCTGCTAGTGGGGACGGTGGAAAGAATCCTGGCGCCGCATGGTGCACGCTCAGCGTCTATTGTCGTCAATGCCAAGCATTCAATGAACGAAACGGGAACAGACCAACAAATTTGAGGCGCTCTCGTGAAAAGCATGCGACACCGCATCCGAGAAGTGCAGATCCAAATCGAGGTACATCGTTCGTGATTTGCGCGACTTTCCTTCATCGGTCACAATCCAGCGGCGTAATTCCATCAGAGCGAGCGTGCAGTCTGCGATGTAGCAGAATCCCGCGGCGCGTTCCTTCTGGGCATGATGTCGTCCTCCATCCCAGCAGATGGCTACATCGCATCGAGGCTGGCGAAGCGTCTTGACAGCCGTGAGCGTCGCGCCCGCCACGAGACGTACGTACTCGCTCATCCCGTCGAACGGAGGGCAATCCTATGCAGCTGACTGTCATTCGCGCTCGGTCCCACATGTGCACCAACGGAACCAAGACCTTACATCTTCCAAGCCGAATTCCGCCTTCGTCACGTCTTCCGAGCTGTTGGCATTGGCCTCGTTGAGGATAAAGTCCAAGTATTCCTTCGTGTGATACATGCCCAATTGGGCGGACTGGGCCTTTTGCGGCGGGACGAGTATCAACGCCCGACTCGAATCTGTTGTAGGGCTGAAGAGCCCAAGTGTGCGGGCTAGCGTGTGCACCAGAGCAGAGCGGTTCTTGTTGGCCGGCAGCCGAGAGGAACTCTTTCAACGCGTCAAGGGCTCATCGACGAGAGATACAAGATCGTAACCACCTTCATCAGCTCAAGCGACGCGATGTACGCGACAAATGTCCTTGAAACGTCTGGCGTAGTTGTATCCATGTAGACAACAACCGTCAGTGAGTGTTCGACGCGAATAAGTACGGCCGCCGTGCGACTCGGATGTGTTCGACAGAACGAGCTGAATCAATTAGTGGCAGTGAACTGGACGGCAGCCGTCAAATTCAATTTCGAGTTTGCTTCCTTCTCCGATCCTCCCCAAACTCGCTTCCATCCAGTTTATCCGTCGCCGACGCAATCAGTTTCTGCTGAACACACTTCATCATATCTTCACCAGCGTCTTGAATCTCAGCATCAAATTTCATCGTTATCATTCCCTATGCACTATCGCTCACACTGCGGCCGTCCGCCGGGAGCCCGCACAGCACCCCGCAGCATCCCGGGATCTCCGTCTACGCGCCATAATGGATGAGAATAACCGGATGATCTTTATTGCTAGCAGAAGACTCGGGATTATTTTCGCCGGGAGATCTCCAAGCTCTCATGAAACATGTAGGCAAGGTGCAACGGGTCCAGTGGCAGGATCCTGCCCGCACGACTCAGAACCACAGGAAATGGACAACAGGCTGAAATTTAATCCCAGCGCTCCGCACGACGTTTGATCGAGCTTGGGTTCTCCCTCTATTGTCAATTTGCACTCCTTACAACGTTTGTGCCCGCCTGAAATTCCTGCACTACTTGCCGATGGATAAGACACATCAGTGTCAACGTTCCTGGTGCAAGGGCGCGAACCCAGCGCATGATGTGGATGATCAGCGTCTGAGATGATTTACCTCGGCAATTCTGTGCGCACATGAACCATGCTGACGCTTTATCGTTTTGCTATCGGGTACGCATGGATGATGATGTGCACTTATATACCCTGCGGGAATGAGCTCCCGTCCGGCGCTCACCCTCAATCATGCTTAGCGTTGCGCTCTGTTCGCTCCTCCCGTTCATTCTGTCGGCGAATGCACTCAAGCTCGACCTCGCAAGGGTCGCAGCAGCAAGCAGCAGTGTCAACAACAACTTGATCAACAAGTACAATGTTCGCGTACGTGATTGCAATTCTCGGAATTTAGATCTGTTGCTGACTCGTTTCCTTCAGTACACGACCAATATCACAATCAGCGGTCGAGTTGTGAATGTTGTGCTTGACACGGGAAGCACCGATCTCTGGTATGCATTTGGACTGCATGCCTTTGACCGAGCTTCCCCTGACCCAAATCTCAGGGTGATGCCTCCAGACGGCCTCCCGGCATTCAAAGACACCGGAATCAATACCAAGATCGTGTACGGAAACGGATACGACTATGTTGCGGGGGATATTGGCACCGGAGAATTCCAGCTCGATAGCTACATCATCCCCAATCAAGCCTTCTTGAAAGTCAACGACGTGTGTTTCCATTCCTCAAATCCACTGGCGCATCTGACGGGTCTTTAGGCTTCCGCTGCCGAGCAAGGCGACTTCCAACTGGGCATATACGGCGTCTGGGGACTTGGTTTCAACACTCCGGGGTCCTCCAGAATCAACGACGCGGTCACCCAGGCCTATGGCTCTTCAGCCACGTGGGGCCAGTCTGCGCTCGCCAACATCTTTGCCCAAGATCCGACCAAGGCCGACTACATCGCTATCTCTCTTTCGCGTAATGGAGACTCCGCCGGCTCAGCCGATGCTTCGTTGGCGATCGCAGAGTACGACACCCACTACACTCAGGTCGCCAACGCACCCAGACTCTCTCAGTCGCCGCCCGGTTCCGGATCCTGGACTGTGACCCTGGATTCCATCTCTGTGGGAGGAAAGAAACTCAACTGGCCGACCACCTTGCAGAATGTTCCGCGCGGCAAGAATATTGTCGCTGTCGACACTGGGTGCGCCTTTGTCCTTCGCTCTCGGTCTCCCAATTTGCTAATGATTTACACAGCACAACCAATGCGATGTTGCCTGCAGCGCAGATCGCGGCTATCTACGGCTCGATCCCCAACGCCGTCTTTGCGGCGAACGCCCAATTACGTATCCCGCAGACCCAGTACAGCTCGACGACCGGAGTCTGGGTCGTGCCTTGCACTGCGAGCATCAGCGTCTCGCTCACATTCGGCGGCCAGACGTTCCCTATTCATCCTCTAGACATGACCGATATCCAGATTGTCGCGTCGCCTGACGGCAAGAGCCAATACACCGTCTGCATCGGTTCCTTCACGGATGTAGGCACGATAGTGTCCGGTTTCAGCGACGGACTCGTGGGCGACAGCTTCTTGCGCAACGCATACACTGTGTAAGCCGCATCCACATGACCTGAGCATTCAGCTGATGACAAGCCACTAGATTCGACTTTGCCACCGGTGGCAATGTTCCCCCCGGGACTACACCTTTCGTTCAGATGCTATCTGTGACAGATGCTACCAAAGCTCAGGCCGACTATCTCTCCGTTCGACGGGCTCTGTTGCGGAGCTACCCGCCCGAACTCAGCCCTGCCCAGTTTGTCCAGATTTTTGGTTGATCCGCACGATTTCATTATACAGTATGTAAATCTTGATGTACCAAAATGATTTGAAATCATTTGCATACACCGATGGCTGTTGTGTTGAGGTTACTTACTCCATGGCCGTTGTTGATCAGACTGGCACTAGTTCGCGTCTCTGCTTAGTCAGCATAATCATCAGTTCAGAGTCATAGTGGACATGTCCACTACCACGACATCGAAATCTACTGCTCCTCCCTCTAAGCCCAAGAAAGATCGCGAACGCGAGAAGCGCGAGAAAGACCGGCTCTCCCAATCTCAAAGTCCCGCCGAACGTCTAAAGATCGTCGTCCGGCGCCTACCACCTAATCTTCCCGAGGAGGTGTTCTGGCAGAGCGTCCAGACATGGATCACGGACGACACTGTGGCATGGAAGGAATACTATCCTGGCAAGCTTCGTAAACGGTACATATCGCATTGCACCACCCTTCGACCGAGCTGCATGATAACAATGTTGTCGAGTAAAGGCTCAACAAGGAGAACATCCCGTCGCGCGCATATGTGTTGTTCAAGGACGAGGAGCAGATCGCACAATTCAGTCGCGAGTATGACGGCCATCTGTATCGGGACAAAGCTGGTCTGTGTGATCTTTCGAAGGCTAGTGCGCACAAGCTTACGGATGTGGACAGGCAACGAATCTTATGCCGTCGTGGAGTTTGCCCCCTACCAGAAGGTTCCTCTGGAAAAGAAGAAAGCAGATCCGCGTATTGGGACTATCGAGAAGGGTGCGCGGCTTCCTTGATCCACTCTAGTAGTCTTGTTCAGACGATTATCTGCAGACGAAGACTATGTCTCGTTTATCGAATCGTTGAACGCATCTGCGGCCACTGAGCCGCAGTCTCTCGAGGCTCTCAGTGCGTCAAGTATTATCGTCCTTTGGCAACCGCGACTGATCTTATGTATAGTTGCAGCCAACCAGCCTGTTCCCCAACCCAAGACGAGAGCCATTGCTGGAAGCTCTCAAGGCTGAGAAGGCTGCACAGAAGGAGAAAGAGACGG